TTTTTGCGTGATCTTAGGATTTTTTTTTTTATTATGTTTTTAATTCAGAGATTTGTAATATTTACATTCTTTATTTTGTTATATGTTTACATTTCCATTTATAAGAGAATGTTATATATATATATATATATATATATATATATATAAAATGTTTCAATTTATTCAGCATATTCAATTTCTTTAGTTATAGATTGCAACGAACCGAGTTTTTTGGCACACCGGATGTGAATATTTCATTCATGCCTCATTTTGTGACTAATTTGAGTTGTAACGAACCTGTTACTAGAACCTGATTTGATCAAAACTACACAATGTTATAAAAGATGATTTTGGTTATTTTTGTTTGAAATGTTTAATGTAGAGAAAGGGTTTGGTGTTACCTGGAATCGTGTTGATGAACTATTCTGATCAACCACAATGTCCCTAAGCCACTTGATTGCCAATGGCAGAGACGAAATCACCTCACTCTTTTCGCCTCCATCTTCTTCTTCTTCTTCTTCTTCTTCTTCTTCCCCAACAAGGCTTTCCCACACTTCCTGGAGTTTGTACTGCCATGACAAATCAACCGATGAATCATCATTCTTCTCTAGCAAAGCATTGATACCAACTGTGTGAGACATCGGCACAAACAAGGCTTTCTTGAATTTAACACCTACAGAAACACAAAACATCTTCTCTAGTTGCAGCGTCTTAAGACAACCAAACTTCATTCATCAAGAAGCAATCTTTTTACGGACCATGACATCACATGCTCACATACTTACCGTACTTGGCACTTGCATTTCTTAGATGTGAGAAAATCAGATGCGGGTCCGAACCGACATACAATTGAATAGCAATATCTGCAACAGATTAAGATGCTCTGTTAGGTCTTTTCTTGTCAAAGTTAAAACAATAATGTAATCTCTGCAGATCGGGTATTGAGAAAAGAACAGAAAATTCCTACCCGGTGGCAGGTTTCTCCAGTACATTTCTCAAGCATTCTCTCCTCACAAGCATGAGAGGGTCCTTTAACAAAAGATTCCAAACTCTCAGACTGTCCATTTTCTTTTACAGCAAGAGAAAACCATTTAACACATGCTTCAATGCTTTCGGGAGTGTGAGCTCCATCAAGATAAAATACTAGATTCCCTGGAGCTGCATGTTCGATATATGGATCAGGAATGACTTGTGCCCGTCCTTGCAAACGGGCTGTAACTAACCCTTTGATAAACGGCTCAGGCAGGGTTGTCTAGACAGAGAAGAACGAGGAAATGCATAAAAAGGTTGTGAAACTCATAGGCAACAAAAATAATGGAGAATCACGTATGAAAGAAGCTTACTATCTGATTCAGACTGGGTATTTCAAGGCTACCACTTTGCTGAAGCCAGGTATAGGCTAGTGAGACTGCTAGACCAGCATTGAGATACTGATGCTCCCCGTCAAGACCGAGTTTCTGACCACCTATTTATTTAGCGGTTGTACCACTTTGAGATTCACCTGTCCCATAAAATAGCAAAGCTTTTCTATAAATACACAACTATTTTCTTGAAAAACCGACAAAATTCCAATTAAAAGCCAACATCCTACTTTGTCTATAGAATGTGAAAGTGCATCTACAACGCCATATAATCAAATAAGCAACTAAGCTAGCTTGAAAACTATGAAAGTTTTTCAGTTACATTGCCTGCCTAGTTCACTGAGCTTCAGGTTTGGCAATATCTTGAACTTACATCTGATGCAGAAGCTTTCTCTTCAAGGACACACAGTGCTTCATTGAGTTGGGGCACTGTGAAAGCTGGAACTCCAAGCTGAAAGATGAACAAGGAAGAGGAAACAACTAGACTTAGTTCACCAAAAATGACCGACCATTTTACATTTTAATCGGAAGTTGTAGACACCTTGAAAATTCCTGCCTTCTCACCGGCAATTTTCGCGAGCGTATCTCCTATGATGCATGAAGCAGACATAATATAGAAATATAGTCCTAAATGGTTTTAAAGCAGCACTGATCTGGCATGCAAGAGAATTTACTAACCTAGAATTTCCATGTGGTCATAGCCAAGAGATGAAAACCCGCATACCACAGGTTTCTTAACCTGAAACTGGCAGCAGTGAACCCGGATTAGAACTTCTTGTCTCACCAGAGATGCTTATATAACTTAATATAGGCACAAGAGATGAAAACTTAACAACCTTCATTGAAGTTATCCGTTTTTAGTAATTGGAAGTCTTTTAAGGATTTAGTTAGATTTCAAGAATCAAGAGAATTGATATGTGATTATACTCTATGGAGGACCATAATATTTTTCCTCGACAATACTTCCAATAAGTTTTGAAAACATCAGAATTCAGGTAAATAGGTTGGACATACCACATTGGTGAAATCAATCCTCCCACCTAGGCCCACCTCCAAGATAGCAACATCTACCAGCATAAAGAACTAGAGAACACAAAAACTTATTCTGCATGTCTCATGTAACTGAATAAGAGAAAGAACTCAGTTAATGTTTGAAGCCTAACAACGTAAGGAAGCGGAAATATGAAGGCATTGTAGTCTCCTCGTTAGTTCCCTCCTGAAAGACAAATAACTAGCAACCTTGTAATTGAGTTCAAAACTGCACGAGCTCCATTTGCAAATAACTCAGCCCGAATAAGTTTGATTAAGAACAATTCCAAATTCTGGAAAAAAATCGAGGCCATAACACCAAAGGTTCCAGGGTAATATGCTTTTCATCATCAATATTGTCTTTAGGAAGATAGTTACAATATGTTCATGCTGATTAACTTGGGTGCAAAAAGTTTTTGTCACCACTTTACACAGCTTCAGCATAAAACTAATAATAGATTTATTAGTTTTACAAGCCTAAAATTAATAAACAAGCTGAATCTTCTTTGGTTGTGAACATACCTTCAGCCTATTATAGCACCACCAGAAATAGGCCGAGAATTTTTCCTCACTTATGTCAACACTGCAGCGATGAAAACGTTAGGGAAACGGAAAATTGATAATCATTTTCAGAAAATAGACTGATTCTGTGATCGTTTTGGAACTTTTTTTGCTTGACTGAAATTCAAGGAGGCCATTATTAAACATGCCATAACCAACTATTTAGAAGTAACACGAAGAATATAGACTTGGGAGAGGGGAAAGAGCCAAGAGGTCAAGTCAAAAATATGCAATCGGTAATTAGGGGTGGATACATATCATTTCTCAGATTCACCTAACTTAAAAAAAACTTACCCATCCAAGCGAAATCTTTCACGGACATCAATGAGATGATGTGAAGTTCGGAAGCCATAGTTTCGCAAGATAGACTCTGTAAAGGTGCATGTGGATCCCTTCAGCAAGCAAGAGAGATTAAGAATGTTAGCTGTTAGATCAGACAATAATCAAGAATGCAAAGAAAAAATATTAGTTTCACTCGGAATCAGATAGTAATAAGCATGCAAACAAGATACTAATTTCCTCAAACAACAAAATCGAAGATTAATTTCATGAAGCAATGATGTGGTATCACATACATTAGCACACAATCACATGAATGATCATCTATAAAGAATTCTTTCTTTTAGGGATAAGAACTGAAATGGGTTCACAAAACTAACAAGCCACCAAACAGTATGCTCTCTTCCTAACAAGTAAGGATCATACTCAGCTCCGGCTCAATATATTTGAGAGCCTTAAGGCAAAAAAAATTTTTTGGCCTATTATTATATACAAAGAGAAAATTTACTTAATTTTTAAAAATTTTGCGGAGTTTTTATAGTTAAATTGTTATTTTAAAAATTTTGGGCCTTTTTATACATTTTCTTATAAATAATTAGGCCTCTTAAAATATAATTCTCATATTAATAATATTTTTAAAAAATATTTGGGTCTTTTTTATATGTAAATTTTTTTATAAAAAAAAAAGCCCCGGGCCGTCGCACTTCCGCCCTACCCATCTGAGCCGGGGCTGATCATACTGATGTCCTTGCTAGTCCTTAGCTTACAAGCAAAGCATTTAAAATTTGGCGCCACCTCATTATGACTCAAACAAGTAATGGATCTCAACTCTCTAGAGAGTAAAAAGCTATGCATCTGCTAATGCAGAGTATGCGAACAACCATTACAAGCATGGAAACGAAGAAACAAGAAATGTCACACTTCTTGTACCTTGCCTTTGGTTGGATCCGGTGACATGGATAACTTTCAGCTTTGCAATATCTTCTTCCAGGTCAAGTATCTACATATGTGTTACACTAAGCGTGAACCAGTCGTAAAGAAAATCAAAGATAGAAACAATCAATTAAGTTCATATAAGAATTCAAATCATTCAAAGAACCTTCAGATAATCAAGCACAAACTCGAATTGCCATGTCAATCTGCTTTTCGAATCTACAACCTGAGATTAGAGACTCTACTCATGGCTGGACATATAAGCGAAACAATTTTAAAAAATTGGAAATTGTTGTTGAAGCTTGAATAAAATAATGGGAAAAATCTCATTAAACTATCTCCATTGTTTACCAAATCCCAAAAAAAAAAAAAATTGAACCAAAGTCTCCCATGGAAAAAGATAAAAAAAAAAATGAACCAAAATCTCCCATGGGCTAATGTCATCACCGACGGTAACGAAAACGATGGTGATGAAGATAGCAGAAATGGTAATGGTTCGTGCTTGCTTCGATCATGTAACAGTGTACTACTGAAACTAGTAGATCTCGAACGGCACGATGTGGTACAGAGAACAAACAAAACAGCATACATTCGATTTATTGTTTTCTTATAATGAGTTTAAGGAACTAGTGAAATGGACAATTAAGTTTGGGTGGTGTAGTCGGTTATCACGCTAGTCTCACACACTAGAGGTCCCCGGTTCGAACCCGGGCTCAGACACTTTTTAACTTTTTCTTTGTTTTTTCCCTCTATCTACGTTGCTGCCACGTCATCACCCGCTACACGCACGCTAGGTTTCTTTTCGCACGTGTGTGTTCTGATTTCACTTTTTCTTTCGCCTTGCTTGAACCACAGGAAAAAAAAAAAAAAAAACACAAAACCTGAGAACCAAAACATCAGCACAGAATCGAAATCGCAGAATCACTACTCTAGAAATTCGAATCCCAAATTAAAATCCCAAGTTCGTTCTTCTTCGATTTCACAGAGCAGATTATTGTATCTTATTGTGTCTTCGTAGTTTCTGAAAGAGAGAGATGGATTGGGACAGCGTTGCTGCTGAGGATGTGATCGAGGCGTTAAGAGAGGTCGAATGGTCGGCGAGTCCTCGTTCCTTGGCCGAGTTCTTCTCCAGATTCGCGTTTCCTCGCTCTTTCTCTAAATGGATGAGCCGTCTCAAATGCAATCTCTACTAGTAATTACCCTCTCTCTCTCTTTCGTATTCGTGTTTACAAGTCAGGGTGTTGATTTTTGATTCATCTTGTTGCAGCTATAGGACGAATTACTTCATCCTCTTGATTTGCGTTCTGGGTATGTTGACCTTCTTCTTTTTTCAAGCTGTGATTGAGAAATTTGGGTTTTGATTTAAGATCCTCTTGAGCTGTTTTGATACTTAATCGGGTGTTTTAACTCTCTTTTTCGGCCTTTGTGGACTCAGGTCTTGCACTTATCACTCGACCTCTGGCAATTCTTGGTGCTGCTCTTACAGCTTTAAGCTTAGCTTTCCTAAACGACAGGTATTTCTGTTAGTTTATTTTTAATATTGTTGCTTTGATTTACATTTGTTGCTACAGTTTTTGTTGGTTCGCATCTATTATCTGTAGAATGTTTAGGAGGAGGTTCGATATCTATATTCAGTGATTAGCCCTTGAAGTGGCTATGCTTAGTATTTACTATTTAGATTCAATAAGGTTATGGTGTTGGTATATAAATAAAACTTGTGTGTTGTCTTTATTTTCAGTGATTAGCCCTTAAAGTGTCTGTCCATAGTATTAAATTCAATAGGTTATGGCGTTAGTTCTTTAAACTTGAGTGTTGTAAGGTTCCTCTTTCTCTAGTGATTAGCCCTTGAAGTGTCTGTGCTTACTATTAAATTCAATACGTGTTTCTTAAAACTTGAGTGTGTGTCGTTTTAAGGTTCTCTAATTTCAGTGATTTGCATGGTTGCCTGGTTGGTCTTTACTTTACTCATTGATTTAAGGGCTCTGTGTGTATATGTAATCGTATCTGCGTTTTCCTTGGCATCTATCAAACGCTCTACAATTGTTTTCTTGTCTTTTGCAGTTTTGCAGCTACTTTTAATGAGAAGATGATCCGGACCATTAGGCATTTTTCGCCACACTTAGCTGCCAAGATGAGGCCTCCCCACATGTGAGTAGTTTTTGATTCCCATGGAAGAGTTACACATGGTTTTTGATATTTACTACTTGTGAACACCTTTCAGGCCTGTCATTCGTGGGCGATCTGCAACTAGAAAGACAGTCTACATTTGTGGCCAACCTCGTTTGGTATTCGTGTTGATTGGCTTAACCGGTACTTAAGTATCTTTTAGTCATAGTCATATAAACTCTCTAGTCTCACCTATTGATATACAACTTGGTGGTGAACTGATGCAAAATATTGATTTTCCTTTTGTAGCCAGTTTTGTCCTGTGGTTCATGTCCTGCGGTTTGTTATGGGTCCTCTATGCATTTACCACTGCCATTCTCAGTAAGTTACTGCACTTCCAAGGAACTTTTTCGTTCATTGTTTTCCCCCTTATTGGTCCGGGTTTACATCCTTTGACTTGAAATTTTTATCTCTTCCCTTAGTGATACTTCTTCACGCAAGCCTGAGAACTCCAAACCTCAAGGCACGCTTGAACACATTCCGTGAAGAATTCAGGGCTGTCTGGCGTAACTACAGCGAACTCTAAGTCAACAGGAAGCATTGATTGGATCTTGAATCAAACCAAGCAGGAAATCAAAGGTCTCAAGTAAGGACATGAACTCCAATGCCTTCCATCATGTGCACAAACACAATGGCAGTTATTCTTGTCTTCTAGTAGTAAGCTATAAGGCCACTTATCTGATAACAGATGCGGCTCTTTGTTCTAGTTAGTTGACTAGAACCACAAGGTTAAATCGCAGACAAAATATATATAGTGTTGTGCTCTTTAGGTTCCATTGTAATGCTGCTCAACACAAAGTCTGTTGTAGTGATACTAATACTCTTTAGTCTTTACAGTGTGTTTAGTGATTCAGCTTTAAATATCTTCCCTAACTTCTTCGGTTCTACGCATAGTTTTCGTTTTTCCAATAGTATAGTACAGTGCAGCATACCAAGAAATAGTATAGGACTGCGCAAATTTTGGTAGACAAAAACATGTGGGCTTTGCTTGTAGAATCAGTTCCGGGAAAGAAAAAAAAAATCAGTTCTGTAAAAAAAAGTGTTAGAAGAAAAAGCCCAGAGAAACTTTTTTGGGTATAGAGCCCAAAAATAAAAAGTTACGAAGAGACAAGATTCGATCCAAAATTACAACTGTACCAACAGAGCTTTTTCTGAAGATCTGAGCACACACAGATAAGATACGAAACCCTAAGAGCTTCTTCTTCTTCAATTTTTAGATTAAACCGAGGCATAAGCGGCGCATCTGAATCCCAAATTAAGAGACGATGACGATCGATTCACAGCAGAAAACGACGAGCAAGTTCAGATGGGGGGAAATGGACGAAGACGACGATTTTGATTTCTTGCTCCCTCCCAAGCAGGTGATTGGCCCAGACGAGAATGGTTTAAAGACGACGATTGAGTACAAATTCAACGATGAGGGCAGTAAGGTTAAGATTACGACTAGGACACGTGTCCGGAAGCTAGCTTCTGCTCGGCTCAACAAACGAGCTATGGAGAGGAGGAACTGGCCTAAGTTTGGAGACGCAGCCAATGAGGAAGCTGGTAGCCATCTCACTATGGTTTCTACTGAAGAGATTCTTCTCGAACGACCCAGAGCTCCTGGTATATTCTGGTGGTTTTTGTTTGTTGAGATTCGTGGGTTTTATTGCTTCGTATTGAATTTGGATTTAGAATCAATGTGCTGGGGTAAATTACTCACCTTTGATGATGTTTGTCTGTGATTTGCTCTAACTTTGGATCTTATCTAGTTTCATTGTTTGATTATCGGTGATGTACTAATTCTTATGAAGTGAGGTGACCAATTAGCCGATCACATGTTAGCCGTGAGGCTACGTCTTTGTGTGATTGGTCAGTATGTTACCAACATCAGTTTATTGGTTTGTAGTCCTGTTCTTGAGTAGGAGCTGAAATGGTGCTCTCACTTTTGTGGCTGCAATCTGGACACATAAATGTTGCAGCTTTTCATGATTCTCGTATCTGATTATATGTAGATTTAGTTCAGATTGTTAAACTCTTCAAGCTTTTGTCCTGTGATATGTCTCTTTTTGTGTTCTTAGCTTTATGGAATAATTAGATTGATATTTGTAAAGCTTTATTGATCAATTTATTCATATGTGAATGACTAATTGTACGTATAGCTCATCATAGATGGTCTTAATTAGTGGGTTCTTATGCAGAAATAGGTTGCTATGATTGATTCTGTGGCTATGTATTACTGTATCATTTCAAAGTTGACAATGAGTTAGCCGGTTGGGTCACAAATACCTTCCTTTTGTTGTGTAATTCTGTGGTATGTAGTACTATTTAGTACAAAATTCACTGATTATTACTTAGGTATTCTCGGGTCTAAGCTGGTCTGTGATAATTCAGGTACCAAAGCAGATGAATCAAAGGCAACAGGAGACGGCTTGTCTCAGCTGGGTAAAGGTGGTGCAGTTCTCATGGTGTGCAGGATATGCCACAAGAAAGGAGATCACTGGACATCAAAATGTCCTTACAAGGATCTAGCTGCAACAACTGATGCCTTCATCGACAAGCCACCCACAGGGGAACCATCTACCATGTCCGCTGCACCTGGAACTGGCAAAGCCGCATATGTCCCGCCTAGCATGAGAGCAGGTGCAGACAGAAGCGCTGTTGGTTCAGACATGAGGAGGAGGAACGATGAGAACTCAGTGCGTGTAACCAACTTGTCTGAAGATACCCGTGAACCGGACTTGATGGAGCTGTTCCATCCGTTTGGAGCTGTCACACGTGTCTATGTGGCCATCGATCAGAAAACTGGAGTGAGCAGAGGATTTGGTTTCGTCAATTTCGTGAGCAGGGAAGACGCTCAACGGGCAATCAACAAGTTGAATGGTTATGGTTATGATAACCTCATCCTCAGGGTTGAATGGGCCACTCCAAGACCAACCTAGAAAGAAATGTCTGATGAGACCTTAAAACTCTTCTCATGCTCGTCTTTCTTGTTATGGATTTTGTTTATTGACCAGTTTGTTTGTTGGTTTGGTTCTGTTCGAATAGATGAGAAATTGTTGTTCAATTTCTCTTTAATACATAAGGCATGCTTTTTAAAATTGTTCAATTTCTCTTTACAAATGCATTCTTCACTGATGTCTAAATTATCATATGATATTTACTATTCCCTCCATTTCACAAAATAAAATGTTTTACTTGTTCGGTAAAAGATATCTTTTTATGATAAATGGTAATTACGTAAATTCTCTAAATTGTAATTATTACATTTCGTATCACTGTATAAAACGATAAGAAGTTTTCCTCTGTTAAATTTAGTCTACAAAAGAAAATTTCCATTTATTTTATATGCATATATATAGTATATACTAGCTTAATAAGTAATTTCTTCTTCAAGTAGAAGGTCAAATCTTAGATTTTCATTGAAACAATGAAAAAGGTTTCAAAACTCAGTATTATCTTCCGTGACGAACTACAACACCTCAACAAAGACTCGGTCGAAAATTTAGATGTCGTCGGAAAAAAACCATTTAACTCATCGTCGGACAATGAACGCGACCAATTCTCCGGCTTGTTTGCTTCTTGCTCATCGTCTTCGTTTCAAATGCCTCTTCAGTACCCGAATTACAAAAAGGAACAATACGAGATTATGTCGGAGGAAGAACTCGATCAACTTCTCAAACTCTATGGTCTGCCAGTAGATATCGGTGACTTGTCTTACAAAAAAGAATTTGTAGTGGGTGCATTCTTGTGGGAGACGGGGTTAAATTCTTCTCTGGATGAGCATGATTCAGTAAACCCTAATTCTTCCACTGATGATTTGGATGAGAGCTCTTTGATAGGATTGATGACGGTTCTGATAAAAGATATGGTTCACTTTATTTTTCGTGTGTAGCAAGTAAAGGAAGTAAAAGCCTAATTTTGCTTGCCCTTAAAGTTTCGTTTCTGGTTGTTTATATGGATGGATTTCGATTGTTATGATTTAGGAAGATAATGATTTACTATATCATATTATTTTGCTTGGCCCTAAAGTTATCATTTGTTTTTTTTACAACCGAAGAAAAGTTTAAACCAAACTGAATCGGGAAAGGAAAATATGGTTTAGTGTGGTTTAGAGAAACTTAAATATATATAGAGGCTAGAGCTCAAGAAAACTAGTTGGGACATGTCTCTTCTCTTCTTTAACAATATTTAAAAAGGACTAGCGACTCTAGCTGAGAGAATAATCTTGTTTTAAAAGCTGTATAAACAATGAGAGAAACAAAAGCTTCAAATAAAACTTCAATCAACTCTGACTTTGAAAACAAAGTAAAGTCTATCTGTATATAAATAGAAGCATTATCTAAAACTGTAAATAGAGAAATCCTAAAACCCCAAAAACAGTTTAAAGTTGGCGCTAATCTTAAGTAAGAAAACTGCATCATTATCTGATACCCTTTTAAATCATGAAGATGATGATGATCTTGCGTTCATCTCTTCTCCTTGTGGTGTTTTTCTATGGTTTCGTATTTGCTTCGGTAGTCTCCAATAACGTAGCAACTTACTTACTAGATCATGAACAAAAAAAAAGATGTATATATCAGGAACAAATTTTGTTAGCCGTTTTAAATGTATGCATAACATACAAATTTAAGATTTTACGACCTATGCTTCTTTTTTTTATATCAAAACGTTTTATAACAACCAACATAAGAACACCGTGAAGTAACTCTATCTTTATCATTTATCATTGATGGACTACTATAGTCGGTTAAAGTGTTATTTAACAGCTTTAGTCGAACAGTTCACTTGTATGTATGTTATACTTTTAGGGTGTTTGCACCGTTTAGCTAAAATCGTCTACCGACTATATTTGGTTTACAATGTTATTTCTAACAATTTTACCGAGCATTTCACTTGTGTGTTTTGTAGTACTGCATTACTCAGGAAACATCGTCAAAAGGCTCACCAAGTTCCTCCATTGTGCCCCAAACACGATGTTTACCGAGCATTTCACATTTAAGTTAAATCTATACGGGTAATGGATTTTACTGAGCAAAAAACGTATAAAGTTCGTTTTTTTGCTAAAAACAGACTTATGAGTTATGATATAAACGTAAACCTCATTGTTAACATTTTTAATGTAACACAAGGAACTCACGATGTCATGTAGCCTTCTTCAATACTATAAAGTAAGAACCATTAGGGACATGAAAAAAAAACCATTAGGGACATGAGTAGATATTTAATAAGACAACATTATGATGTATAGCGAAAAAAGGGAAAGAATAATTGAGAAAGATAGGTCAACATCAAATCTTCGAAACCAAATCTCACATAGACCAAATAGACACGTGTCTTTATTTGATTGTCACAAGTAGGCATAATCTTATCTAAGATCCCACTTGTTTTGTGTCCCTCTCAATCCCCAACTCAACTCTTATTGTGTTGCCCTCTCACTCTTTCCACGAACCCAATAGGCAACAGCTAAAAAATCTATCCATCATTATAACATTATATGCAAATTCCAATCTAATAGTTTTTGGCAGTGGCCTTATCTTTTGATGGTGAAATCTCCAAACTTCGACCAATTGTATCGTATTTGATTATCAAGTTGACGTTTTCACGCGGGGGGGTGGGGGGGGGGAGATAAATTTACCGTAGTTTGGTTTGATGTTACATGTTGGTAAATGTCTTCAACAAAACTTCATAATTGTTGCTTTAGAAAATAAAACATACACGATGACACGAACGTATGATTTAGTAGTATCTAAGTAGCTAACAAACATTACAAATAGTAATGTGAAGCGTTTATAAAACATGATTGGATAGAGAAGATTTTAATATTTGGTCATTGTGGCAAGTGGCAAGTGGCAAGTAATGGACGGTCGAAAGTATGTAATATTTTTTGTTCAAGTTGATATTAATTAATTTATTAACGAATGTGAATATCATATTCCTTTCCTTTCCTTCCTAGTTGCTATTTTTAAGTCAATATAATCAAAATCTGTTTAATTAATGATTGATTCCGACCTTAACTGACATGAAGCATTCGACAATGTTGGCCAAAAAATTCTCTTAATTGATTTATGTTTCTAATATATTATCTTTCAATCTTTTAATTACAAAAATGTGCTAAATTCCTTAAACCGGTTTGGGTTCAATTTATCGGCAGCATTCGTACTCAACCAGTTCGAACCGGATAACGTTAACCACGTGATTAAAAAATGGTGCATACGCATAGATCTGTTTTCATTACTCTGCAATTCTACACGCCCATAGTAAAAGAATACATGTATATAAAATAGTACCTTAAGAGAAAAATAAAAGAAAATACGCAAGTTTTTAATCAGCTTTTTTTCTTCCCCAGCCTGAATTAAGAGCTAACTAAAAAAAGAAAAAACACCTTCAATGAGAAAACTAAAATAGAAAATAAAAAATAAGAAAAATTACAATTAGGCTTATGTAACAATTTCTCTAATACTATTACTAATTAAAACACTAATTATATAATTAAGACGACGATTGATTATTCCTCCTCTTCCTCAGGTCAACCACTACGACGCTCACGTTATCGGAGCTCTGTCTCGCTAGAGCCAACTTCGTCAATAGCAACGCAGCATCGGAGCACGCATTGTGCGCCGCAGCTGCATCAGAATCATCACCATCCATCGGACCAGCACCTCGAAGGCACATGCGAGCCACACCACATGCCGTCTCATTTGGTACAACGTCCCATAGTCCATCACTCGCCAAAATCAAACACTCGTCGTCGTCGGTTCGATCCGTCACTGTAACCTCCGGATCCGGAATCACATATGGTTTCAAGTAATTGTCACCTATAAAAACAAAAACACAAAAATCATCAGATTTATTTCAAGACATGTAATTATAACAACCTTACAAAGTCAAATCACAAGAGAGATCAACTCACCAATTGCTCTAGACATGGCAAGAACACCAAGAACCCTAGCTCCGTCCCAATAAATAACCCGCCCACCCGCTTGCTGGATCCGAATCAATTCATCGGGTCGATCCGGCTGTTCATCACAAAACAAAACAATTAGAACCATCCTTCTTGATTCATACAAAACAATTCATGAGTCCAAAAATTACTATATTTAACTACCTTGTGATCTACGGATAGAGGAATGGCTACACCATTACGGCAAAGTACCGCGCGAGAATCGCCGCAGTTGGAAACAATGATCTTCTCCGGCGTGACAACAGAGACAACAGCGGTGGATCCGACGGCATCGCACTGAGGAGACTGCAATTCACATCTACAAGAGTTCTTCATACTCCGATTTGCACCATTAACAACTAAGTTACACTCTCGCTGGCTAACTTCTTTGTCCATTTTTTGAAAACTCTTCACCATCGTCTCTTTCCACTCGTCGGAAGCCATAACTTCAACTTCCTTCTTCACTATATCATGCAACCGTTCTCTACACTTCTCCGCAACCTAAATCACCCAAATCAAACCCTAATTAGCAACAAATTATACCAAAGAAAAAAAATCAACAAACAGAGGAAATTAACGTACATGAGAGCAGCCATGGCCGTCAAAAACACCGTAGAAATGAAGATTCTCAGAGTTTCGTTGAAGAAACGAAGGATGAATAGATACAGCGTCTTCCATGTCTCTTCTTCTCCCACAAACCGACGTCGTACCAATCCTAGGTACATCGGAAAAGAAACAGCTCTCTGCTTCCGTAACGGAATTTGAATTCGTAACCGCTGATTTAACCTTCTTGTGTTCACTCCTCACATTCGATTCCAGATCTAGATTTCTCGACAGTACTGTCTCACGCTTCTGCCTTTTACGACAACTCTCAAGCGGAGGAGCAACGGCGGAGTCAGCAACAATCTTGATCGACGGAAGTAGATCTAACCTCCGTCTAAGAGAAGCTCGAGTAGTTGAATCAACCGGTGCCGCCGGTTCAGTCTCTCCAACAACACCGCAACAAATCCCAGCCATTTTGATCTCAAGCAACCACAACAGAACCTTTCTTCAATTCCAGAGCAAACCAAACAAACAATCTCCGATTTGAGTCTTCGTCTTCTTCAACAAGAGAGAGATATTAGTAGAGAGAGAGAAAGAGATTTTTGAGCGTTAGGAAATGCAATGGGATTTAAAAAAGAAAAGGTTTGATTTAAAAAGAAAAGTTGAAGAACACAAAAAAAAAAAAAAGGGTTTGATTTCGCATGGAAGGGTTACACGTAATTAGCGGGCAGGGGGCATGAATGAGGGAAGTTGCTGACCGTCAGCATCTACGGGCAGCATCCGACACGTACCGTTTGGTGTGACGTTCCATTTCCTGGTACCTAGAGACAATCTAAACCGTCCATTCTTCTTTTTCTCCCGATCTATACACGTGCCCTTTCTTTCTTTTGGATACGCCGTTAACGTGGCCCAATCACAGTTCGACACACCTTAACGGTAACGACCGGCCTTTCTTGACACGCATGTGGTCCACCCTTTCGTTTTGTTCTTTTCTTTTTCCTTTTTGTTTTTTTTTTTAAAAAATATTAATACGCTTAAACAGCATTATGCTGTTAATTAATTTAAATAACATGGAGTCACATGTCAAAATAATGGGAGAGAGACCATCTTGTTCTAAAATACTCCTTCAGTCTCATCAAAAATAATTTTTAAGGTTTTATTTTGTATCAAAACGATTAATTTTCTATAAATTTTTATCAATTAATGTTTCTAAATTGTGAATTTCAAGAATTATTAATAAAGAATTTTAAAATTTAATAAATTACTATTGGTTGATAGTTATGAAAAATAGTTTGGTATGACTAAATAGTATATTTATAACTAAACACTAAATATATTTTTTAATTAGTGTGAAAACTCTATATAATCAATTGATACATACTGGTTTTAATTAGATTTGTCAGCTTTTTTTCATAAATCTATTATGAACCAAAAATCACTATAAGTATAATGTAATCAATTGAAAATCTCTACTAGTAGTAGATGATATAGCATGAGATAAATGTTTTTCACATTATCTTATGGATATTTATTACCATAAATATAGGTTGAAAACCGCCCTAAAAATATTAATAATATGTCAATCCATTAATTTTAACAAATGCAGTAGTAACAATCTAATAATGTAGTCATACTTCTCATATAAGGAATAAATATATAATATTCTCAACTTAATCTGACTGTATTTAAGTATTTATTAGTGATAATACATATGAAAAAACCATAAGATATAAATAAGATTTTATGTATTGTGTGAGGTAAATTTTAAAACATTGACAATATCGTATAGAATCTCTTTTCGTTATGGAATCTTGAATAGTGAATACTGATGAGTAATGACAAATAGAATGATAGGTCAGCCACTATTGGTAAACATATAAGAAAAGATCTAGTAATATACGATTCATATCATTACACAAACATGAGAAACAATAATGCATTTGAATGTTTCGAATTATAGTTTTAAATATTGATCAAACCGCTATAATTTCGAAAGTAACACATCGTGAACACATATTATCCAAAATTTCTTTTTGAATAAAATATAAAATTTATTCGAAAAAAACGGTTTTACATCAAATGCAACATTTAATTAAAATTTGCATACAAATTCCCCATCAAAATCCCCACCTCTTTAGTAGTGCTCATCTAGAACTAAACCAAACTTCCATACACTTATCATATATTCCATCTCCTTATCATATTATCCAAATTAATCGATCGAGGATATAACTTATAAGATCCAAACTACACAAAAAAATTTTTCGTTAAAAGTTAAACAATATAATTTTGATACTAGAAATAAACAAGAACAAGATCTAAAATTTCCCGACAGGGAAATGTCATTTGTTCTCTCACTTCACACATGCAATCTAATTAAAGATGTTTAAACAATGAAAGTATAGTTATTTTTATGCTTGAAAATTCTGAAATGCGCATAAACGAAAATAAATTGGAAAATGGTTACGTGTATCTGATGATTTCAAAAAACACTTTTCTTTTTGGTTTTGATGTTAGAATTTTATATCTTGAAAACGATTATAACCTACAGTATATACCACAATCCATAATTACATAGAAGACTTATACTATCAATCATCCGACTACAAATGTTCCATCTCATTCACACGCATTGTCCATGCTTGAGATATTTGTTGACACAAAAAAAATGCTAGAGATATTTTGGTTTCGTACTGATTGATTACTGGATTTTTTTATGTGTTCATGATTCTTTATATGCTTAGTCGATGTAGGTGTTGCATACTCGACACGTGGTCATGTTCGTCCTCCCACTTGTGCTTGGTTTCACTTACTTCACCGATTTCACAGTTCACGAAAAGGTGTCTACGATAACGTCTATAAAAAATACGTCGTCGTCTTTTGTTTATCGCAAAAAAAACCCTACAAATCTTGAATCTGAAAAGACAGAGTAGTATTACCCTGTGTTCCTCTAAAATTGATGTTTTAGGTTTCCACAAAGATTGATTTTGGAGATTTTTTTTAATTAATTGATATCAATAAATCGTAGATTTCAATACGTAATAATTGAAAATAATTAACTGTTTTAGATTATTACTAGTTCATCGTTTGTTAAAAAATATTTAATAAAAATAAATAATTATCAAATACTACAAATATCTCTGTTGTCAGAAATAAAAAATAAATTACTCTTTACACACGTGTATATATATATATATCATTAAAGAGAAGGTTTCGTAAGATCACGAGTTTTTTATAGTCTTTTGGCCTCATAAAACTAGTATAGAAGAAAGTATAAGTACTTAACAAAATGAAAGAAGAAAGTACTTAAAAATGTATACTCTTCTACACCGTTTTACTATCAGTTCATAAATACTACCTTAAAGTTACGAAGATACAAAATATAATTAAATCGAATATGACGAAAAGTCTCATTCTATAAAGCAGATAACTGTTGAACTTGTTTTTTCTTGGTTAAAAGGATAATTGTTGAACTTACGTGAATACAATGCTTAGCCGAAGAAATCAGCAAATTGTAAATTTTGTTATCACATGAACAAATGATAAAATCAATCAACAGATATGATATCTATCTAGTGATTATCAAATACGTTAAATTTTTCAATCAAGTTCCTGTTCTTGATCAGAAAGAAGTCATCATGCACAACAACAAAATCCAAAGTTAACCCCGAAAAACAGAGCGTGACACACACGTCAAAAAAAGACTCGCGTGGAAGAGAATAAATCAATAATTCTCCTTTTTAATTTAAAAATTTTCAGTATGTTGCATTGCATCTGCACCACACTAACTCCATCGCATCCAGCTGTGATTAAAAAATTTAATGCTGTCTACGTAAGCCCCCGTAGAGAGAGAGTGTGTAACACGCGCCTCTTCTTCTTCTTTAAGAACTGTGAAACTGACAAAGTATCTTGTTTTGTCTTTTTTTTTTTTGGTTTAAACCTCCTAGAGGAGGCCTGAACGACACGTGTTTTATCTGACGTGGATACTGTAAGATGCTTCCTCGGTGACTTCTCCATGACTCGAATTCGGCGCTTCTCCACGTTTCCATCATATTTTCTCTTTTGTTTCCTTATTTGTTCTTTTAGTCCTCGTACTATTTTTAATCAGCAAGTATAGCTCATATCTTTTTGAAATCTTAAGAGTATAAAGAACAATTCCAATTCGGGTCCATTTGATCATTCGATGAACTGTTTATTCTTATAGATTGTTTTGACAGATCTATAAAAATAAACAGTTCACAAAACTTTACATGTTTCATAAATTTATTAATATTAAAATAATCTATAAGAATCTGTACATGTTTAGTAAATTTATTAATATGCACTTCGCGAAACTTTCCATGTTTGAGATCTTAACATGGAAAAATAAAACATGTATAAAAGTTCAAAAACATTAGCGACAAAAAAAAAAGTTCAAAAACATTAGCTGTTGTTATTTTGTCTCAAGAAACTAACAAAATTTTGCACCAAAAAAAAAGATCCTAACTAAGTTATGCTTAATACAGTTATGCTTAATATTTTCCAATTCAGATTAAAGAAAACAATTGGTTTTATTGAATAGAAATCCTCATATCTTTAAGGATATAATAAAATTTAATTTTTTAAATGAAAAGTTAAGAAAATCTTGATTAACAATAATATATGAGGAAGTTAGTCTTTGGGAATCTGGAACAATTAATAACATCCTATATATATGGTGGCAATATGCAAATATAGAAAACAAATTTCTCTCTTTTTATAGATTCTGCATAATAATAGAATACTCCCTCTGTTTCGTTTTAGTTGTCGTTTAAGGTTTTCTCACACAAATTAAGAAAAACATTAAATTTTCTGTTTTACCCTTTATTAATATATCATATAATTTTTTTTATTGGCCAAAACATTAAAACAATAGAGATAATACTGGAATTTTTACCAAACATTTGCATTAAAAACCTAAAACGACAACTATTACGAAACAAAATTTAAGTCCTAAAACGACAAATAAAACGAAACGGAGGGAGTATTGAATTTCCTTTTGATATTTTTTTGATAAGCTATAGGATGTTTACACACGTCCTCTTTGGTATAATGAGAGCAGTTCTAATCTCACCAAGCTTGGGACAGCTAGAAAGCACGACAATCCAACTATACTACGACACGTTTCAAATTTTAGCTGTCACGAAACAGACCTACCACTACTACCGCCACGTGACGGTCAAAAGAAAGGAAACTTGTAAGAAGTGATCACCGGCACGAACCTAACACATCGCGAATTCGACCGGTCTCGGTCGACACGTTATGCATGTTTTTTTGTTCGTTTAATCTTTAAATGAATGACTCTTCGCTTTTCGTTTTTGTATTAGTCAATAATTACAAGAGTTGGCCAGTTGGGTTGATAACATTAAATATTCAATTAGGAGAGACTAAAAGTATTTGTACGACTTTGTACACGTAACCTTAAATAATTATTGCCTTCGAAACTTCTTTCCATATGATTCATGACAAGGAAAACTTCTTTCTATGTGTTCTCTTACCCAGAAAATGTTATCATTTTTATAATTGGAAGATTCCATATATATATTATTTAATTATCGGCTTAGTTGAATTCTACCGGGTAATATTGTAATCTAGATTGTCAATATGAGATTATTTAACCACAAGACACTCGAAATTTTGATATTAATTACTGTAACGCCAATATCCAAATAACAGTACTCGAGTATCCGTCCAGTTACGTTGGTGTTATAAATTCGGTCGACTATATGCTTGTTGAAGATATTAAATAAGTGGCTTTGCGCAATGCAAATCCAAAAATTCTTCGGCATCAAATCAACCGAAATTTCGTGACATTTATAATTGTGCCCTATTTTATTTGATTCTTTGATTGCGTCTACTTTTTGACATTTGTGTACGTAACCAATATTATATATATCGCCGTGGATTCGGCATGCACCATGACATCTTCCCAACATGCAAGCAAACGACATAACTTTTTAAATATTATACAATAATTTTCTGGTATTTTTCGTAATTAAACTTCAAAACCTGGGACGGTGGGACCTATCGCATTCCATTCACTGTAATTTCTATACCAATGATTGTCAAAAAAAATTCTATACCATGATCAATGATGTGAATCTATAGGAATATATCGATCAATTGCTTAGACCAGTGTAGCAATCGACTAAAATAATTTTCGACAATTCCTGCATTGATCGAGAATATAGGATATATATAGTGCCGACAAGTTTAAAAGCCACTAAATTGGGCTCTCTAGATCCATTTGGATCTGTCCAAATAGGAGCATGACCAAATAGGACTATGATAGTATAAGCCCAAATAGGACCGTGTCAAAATAAGACCATGACCAACTGGACAGTCCATGAAGTTAAATAATATGACTTTTTATTTCCCGCCAAAACCGCAAAAGCATATTTTTTCTCAAAATCGAAGAATTGTACTTTTCCGCCAAATTGTAAAATCACATCTTTCCTCTAAAACTGTAAAAATATTTTTTAGAGTGAAAATATCAATGTAAATCCTAATTTTTTAAAAATAAAGGAAAAAAACATTTATCAAAATTGGTAACCCTAATTTTGAAAGTTTATTGGACGGCCATGTCCAGATGGGTTCGACCTATTTGTTTTTGGACTAAATGAGTTTCTAGTCCATATTGATCGCTTCGAATTTGAGCGTGACCAAATACGGACCATTATAATTTGTACTGATCTAACCCATGGTCATGAAACCCATTTGACATACCTAGATATGAGATGAGACCCACAAGCATGAGGTAACAAACATCGATTTGGATCAAGTTTGTTGGGAGAAAAACATTCGGAGAGAGTCCACTCAATAGGGGAAAGGCCTATAATGGGCTCTTATTGAGCACTTGACTCTAAGAAACGTGCATTTTCTTCTTTTTTTTTTTGTTTTTTTTTGCAATTTAAGTAAAAGTAGTAATGTACTATATTTGATATAACAAATGTTCATTATTTGCCATGTAGCTTACATACTTACTCTTTGCTTCTTTTCTTCTTAAATGGTTAATCTATTTAAATGAAAACTAATGGTAAGGTATATATTTCGAGTTATAACGAGAGAATAAAAGACTTCCCAGGAATTTGATCTTGAATTAGGAGAACTTCAAACTGTCCAAACCAGAGTAGCAGCATAATCGTAATTTACGATTAGTCGAGACCCGATAGTTTTGGTTTCATGAGGAGCTTGATTTGTTGATGGACGGAGATGTCGACTGATCGCGAGATAAGAGGTGTGAACTCTTGAATTCTTCTTTTTCCAGTAGTCACTAGCACTACTAGTTTTTTGGAGCACAAGAACGATATTTAGAACTGTTGATTTTACATTTTGAATGTAGTAGTGGGCCTTTTGCCCAAAAAAAAAAAAATGTAGTAGTGGACCCTGGGGGACATATATAGAAAGCAAACTCTTTCAATTTAGGTGAAGCCAATTAGGTAACGGATAAAATCTGTTCCATTCATTTTGTGACTCGGGCCCTCCCCATTTTGTACGTAAACAAGATAACGCGTTCTCTTCACTTAATGAAAAACAATTTGGACGACTTGATCGACCGACGTCTGCATATGCAATATATTATATAACTGATTCTCAAAGAAGGCCTGATGCATCAAATCATGTATCTTACCATTCTTATATCTTTGTTTCAATTATAAATACCCAAAAGATGTGAGCTGAGCTATTATTGTTGACTTGTTGTTTATCACGATCTATGTAAGCATTTGTACTACAAAACAAATGCGTATTTCCAGGCCTATTTTCTATCTACTCATTAGTATTATGTTTTTTTTTCTATTGACTTTTTTCTTTAACTCTCTACTCTTATAAATGATGAAAGCACACTTTCGAAGACGAAAGATATTATGGAACAAATTGTAGTAAATTCTTATAAGAATATAACTAAAAGATACAATAGATTTATATAGAGATAAGAGGCGCAAAATAACCTAATTTTAATTTCTTAAACTAAGATGAATACATACTCTCTTTGTTCTTACATAAATGATGTTTTAAGCTTTTGTTTTTGTTCTTAAATAGATGATGTTTTCAGTTTTCAATGCAATATTAATTAGTTTTTTATTGGTTTTGATGATTTATATTATATATACTCCTTCTGTCCCAATATATAAGATGTTTAAAGCATTTTCATTTGTTCCATTATATAAGATTTTCTCTACTTTCAATGCATGATTTATATTAGTTTAATAGTTTTTAATTGTTTTAATTATGCAGTATTTTCTTTTATTGGTTGAATTTTCATAAATGAGAAAACATTTATTGTTTTTTAATCTTTGTGCTTTTAGTCCAAACATCTAATAAAATGGGATAGAGAGAGTATTATTTTTCTTTTGGTTGATTAGATAATAAATGATATTTTTGTTTAGAAATAAACATAAATGATTTCTTAATCGATGTGTATTCTCCTAAAACATCATCTATAAAAGAACGGAGGGAGTATGTGTTTAAAATAAATGCGACTTTACAGACTATAAACTTTCATAAATATTTACGTTTCTTTTCTTCAATAATTGAATGATCTCGACTTGGCTTGTAATTTTGCAGTCGACCTTAGTTTGTGCTATCTTCCGAAATAAATAATTCCCTTTCTTTTTGTTTCTTTCGAATACTTAAGTTTTTATTTGTTTTTTTTTCTTTTAGGAATAAGAGATTCACTAATACAGCCAGTTTTTTTCATGCACGGACAGTTTTTTTTTGTAATAGCTCAGTAGTCATAATTTAATTTAGTTACAACATTTTTCTATTATAGTTTTAGATCGAACATTATGGTTTGAAACTTGAAAAACAATCTATTAGTAACAGATATTCGAAAGTCGTCACACCGTTGACTGAAGCTGAGGACATGTCCGTCATTTGTGTGTTTTTCTATTCACGTGGCTACCTCTTCTTCTTCGTCTCCCATTTATGTGTTATCCCTCAGAGCTTGTCACTCCAAAAAAGGTAAAAACAAAAAAAAAACAGCTTCTAAAAATAAAAAATAAAAATAAAAACAAAAAATAACCCCAGCCACCGTGAGGGTAATTCCGTAAATTTAAACAGAAACTCCATTCCCGCGGCGTATGCAGAGGGTAATTCCGTAAACTTAAGCCATCTCCGGTGATGAATAAGATCGACTCCTTCACGCCGGAGTGATTTTTCACGGTGTTTCTCTTCTTCTCTCCTCCAACCCAAAAATAAAAATAAACATGAAAGCAAACCGCGGCGGCGGAGAGCACGGCCACCACGAGGCTCTCAAGTTTTCCAGTTTCTTCTTCATGCCGGAACGGCCACGTGATTACCTCGTGCTTTTCACACGTTTCTCCGTCCTCACATGCCTCATCGTCTCCGTCTCTCTGGTTCTCCGTGCCACTTTTTTATCCCCCTCCGCTCGTGACTATTCCACCACCTACGGTCTCCGACTCACCGCCGTACCTCAGAAAGCCATAGCTTTCCCTCCGACCGGATCCGTCGGACCGATCAATATCTCCCACATCTTGTTCTCTATCGCCGGAGCAGCTGAGACATGGATCGATCGGAGCCAGTACATCTCCTTGTGGTGGCGAAACTCGACACGTGGCTTCGTCTGGCTCGATGAACCGGTGAAAATCCCCGAAAATCACTCCGATGTCAGATTCTCGATCCCGACCCGAGTTTCCGATCCAGGCTGGACTCGATTCAAATTCTCCAGCTCAAGAGCCGCGGTTCGAATCGCTCGGATAATCTGGGATAGTTATCGGCTTAATCTACCAAATATCCGGTGGTTCGTGATGGGAGATGACGATACCGTCTTCTTCACGGAGAATCTCGTCAAGGTTCTCTCCAAGTACGACCACGAGCAGATGTGGTACATCGGAGGAAACTCAGAGAGCGTCGAGCAAGATGTGATGCACGCGTACGACATGGCGTTTGGCGGCGGCGGTTTCGCTATTAGCCGTCCATTAGCGGCGCGTTTGGCTGGCGCGATGGATGATTGTCTCCAACGGTATTTCTATTTTTACGGTTCTGATCAGAGAATCGCGGCTTGCGTTAGCGAGATCGGCGTTCCGTTCACCGAAGAACGCGGTTTTCACCAGGTACGTTATACACGTGTCCCTTATATGATTGGTTGATATGTATACACGTGTCGAACCGTTTTGATCTCGAATTTTGGAGCCCGACAAATTCAAAAGCTTTTAGATGATTAATATCTCGGTGATTTAAGTGGATTCTTGCCACGTGGATTTTCATAACAAAAGGGGTGAAAACATTAATTATCACTAAGCCACTTGCTTAGTGTTAGTCTGCTAGAAAAAGCATTTAGAATAAGGTCACAAAATTGTTGACCAAAAAGGAAAAATATTAGTCATTCAATTATAGACATTAGTACTTTTTTCCTCTAAAATTTTAATTATATACGTTAATTAATTAATCAAATTGAAGTAACAGTTTTTAAGTTAAGTACTCTTAGTTCAATCAATGTTGAGAAAAATGCTGTCTTTCCCAAATGTTATAGTTTATTTTAGTGAGTGGTTCTTGACTTCTTGTTGTGGTCCATGAATGTGCAGAAATGTTTTTCTAAATTCGTGGGTTTAATTTATTGGTGGAGCACATGATTCTGTCATGTTCAGAATTCAGATACAAAGCTTTTAATCATGTCTTCTGATCAGCTTTCTGCAATTTGCTTGTTTTAATCATATATTGTTAAATCATATCTCTGGTTCTAGGATATTTTATGTTTATTCTTTTATCACTACGATCACGTGTAGTGTCTAAAGGGAAATTTCAAATTATTATTTGTCTACGAATATCTATTGTTTCTTTAGTGTTTTGAATTAGTGCATTAGGACATGTAGGATCAGTTGATACCGGATAATTAACTGTTTAGTACTATTTAGAGTCCGCAATCTAAATAGTGTAATTATGTTTGTCTGTGGATAGTACAATTGTGTTTGGACTCACACCATTCTTTGTTGTGTGTTGTGATGAATGAATCATATATATTGCAGCTTGACATAAGAGGAGATCCATACGGATTTCTAGCAGCGCATCCGTTGGCACCACTTGTATCGTTGCATCACCTCGTTTACTTAGACCCAATGTTCCCTAACAAAAACCCCATCGAGTCGTTACAGACCCTAATGAAACCTTATAACTTAGACCCGAATCGAATACTGCAACAGATTAATTGCCATGATCGCAAGCGTCAATGGTCTATATCCATCTCTTGGGGATACTCCATTCAGATCTACACTTACTTCTTGACTGCTACGGAGCTGACTACGCCGTTGCAGACCTTCAAAACTTGGCGGTCTTCCAGCGATGGACCTTTCGTGTTCAACACTCGGCCCTTGAAACCTGACCCGTGTGAGCGTCCCGTCACTTATTTCATGGATGGTGCAGAGGATGTGCGGGGTAGTGGGACGAAAACTTGGTATAGCATAGCAGATAAGAATTATGGTCATTGCGAAAAGAGTGAGCATATTCAGTTAACTAAAGTGAAGAGGATATTGGTGACTTCAATGAAGACTGATCCTGAGTATTGGAACAAGGTACTTAAGTGTTTTAATTTCTCATATTGAATTTAACATTTTGAGTGAGGTTACGTTATAATTTTTTGGCTTTTGTTGACAGGCACCGAGGAGACAGTGTTGTGAGGTGATGGAAGGTGGGGGAAGAAAAAGGATGGAAAAAGAAATGTTGATAAGGATTAGAAAATGCAGATCTTTGGAGAAGATATAACAAAAGCGTTTTAATTAGAGAGATATATTTTTGCACATACAGATTTAGATTCGATCATAGTTGTTTGTTTCTAAATTCCTCAATTCCTAGTATCAAGAGAATGGCGTACGATTTTCTCTATTAATACTGGCACTCTTGCGTTTTTCAACATGTAAACATTACTTTGTATTATTAGTCGATATAAAATAAATAGCTATATATAGTTTTGTTACAAACGAAAACTGAGATATTAAACCCTTAATCTCGTTACGTGAATTTGTGTTTTGTGTTAGTGTCATCATTGACATACCTTTTCAAAGATCAATGGATCAAAGTTTTTAGGTTAAGGTTAAATGCATGTCAAATAATAAGAAATACTACTGTTTACACTAACTTGGTAACAAAAGAGATGACCGAGGATGAAAAAACAGAGCAGAGGATATAAGGTGATTTTCTGAGCTTTCAATGAAGTTAATGAAGATACACTTTAGAATCGAAATCCAATGTTGTTCTACTTGTCCATAAAAAATTAAAAAGTCAAAATCATGACCATATATAATGTATTCAGTTGACTCCATTAACGTAATACATATGCTTATGCTTCTTAACATAAAACCAGAGAGATATATATAATCTCTAATTGACCAACTATACTTTTAGAAAGAAAAAAAATAATGCATTAACATTTCTTTTATCAAGCTTTCGTAAAATGTCTTTAATATTAGCTGATTAGTTTCATCTTTTATATATACAAAATATTTTTAAACAATAAATAAACAACAAAAAGTGTCACTATGTAATATTTCGTAGTTCTTCCATTTTAAACTTCGATTAATTGTAATACTATCAAATATTAAATCCAAACATTATTAATTTATTTTTTCTGGATGAAGTTGCCGATTTGTTTCCAACCAAACCTCAGCTAATATAGTTAGGAAAACGGATAAGACATTACATAAAGGAAAAAAAAAAACCTTTGTTAACAGGCAAGTTTACTTCAACTTGACATTAATAAACTCGTAGGAATTGTGTAAAATGTTTATAGTACTTATAGTTTTTAATCTATAGTCCTGTTAGTATCATATTTGCAAGAAAATTACTATTACAACATATGTTTCCGTGCTTCGATTTCCAAGCTTTCTGTTCATTTGTAATTTTGTCCGTTAAGTAGGCAACCAAACCGGGCCAGATTAGTCACAAATGAAATTAGGCTTCACTTTGGCAAACTTTTTCATAATTAAAAATTAAAAGTCTAACCAAACTAACATAAACTGAACCAAACAAAAATGTTCACGCAATTACATAGCAATTCTTTATGAAACTCTGGATAATTCGATTGGGAGCTATGCTAAGTTTCTCTCAAACCGAATTAAACTAACTCAAACCGAATATAAACCGTTGTAGAACACCCATCATAAACCTATGTTCTATACTCCTATTTGGCTAGAAATTAATTAAAATTCATGAACTATACATAATAAGGTCAGTAACCTACCTAATAAAATCCATATACAAGGATAGCCTAATTTTGGTGCATCCCGCCAAAAAATGGGACAAATGGTAAATTTCAAACCATGAATTTCTTTGTTATACACATTACGTACACTATTACATCAGAGCAAAACAGTAACGTGCATAAACGTATTTTCTTCACACAGTCTATATATATAATATATTGACTCGTGTATTTTTCAACAAAAAAAAAAATCATGTATACAATTACGGTAGGTGCAATATTGATAAACTGCCATTCCCATTGCATTAGACGCTAGTCAATCCAAACCTTATAACATAAAACGTTATAGTACATTTTTCTTTCATATCCAATCGAGTCAAAATTATTATTCGATCAAAAAAAAATACCAAAAAAACAAAAGCAATGGTTATGGAGCAAGCTGGAACGACACCGTATTCGGTCGTGTCAGAGTTTGAAGGAACAATACTGAAGAACGCAGATTCATTCTCCTACTTCATGCTCGTAGCCTTCGAAGCATCTGGTCTAATTCGTTTCGCTATCTTGTTGTTTCTATGGCCCATAATCACACTCCTTGACGTTTTCAGCTACAAAAACGCCGCTCTCAAGCTCATGATTTTTGTAGCCACTGTTGGTTTACGTGAACCAGAGATCGAATCGGTGGCTAGAGCCGTCCTGCCAAAGTTCTACATGGATGACGTAAGCATGGACACGTGGAGGGTTTTTAGCTCGTGTAAAAAGAGGGTCGTGGTGACAAGAATGCCTCGGGTTATGGTGGAGAGGTTTGCTAAGGACCATCTTAGAGCCGATGAGGTTATCGGTACGGAACTGATTGTGAACCGGTTCGGTTTTGTCACCGGTTTGATACGTGAAACCGATGTTGATCAGTCTGCTTTGAACCGTGTCGCTAATTTGTTTGTTGGTCAGAGGCCTCAACTAGGTCTTGGAAGACCGGCTGTGACCGCTTCTACAACTTTCTTATCGTTATGTGAGGTAAACATTCTAAATTGAATGAGCCGATTACTAAAATTTAAATTCATAAACATTTGTTATACTTATGAGAAAAAAAAAAACTCAACTAGAACAACTTTTTAAATCTAACGGATCTCTGTATTTTCAACCAAAATATATTTCTTAATATTTAACAAATCAAAATTTTATTTTCTCAAAAATATTTGTCTTTGTATATAGGAGCATATTCCTGCACCAATCCCGGAGAACTACAACCACGGTAACCAACAACTTCAGCTACGTCCACTTCCGGTGATATTTCACGACGGACGACTAGTGAAGCGGCCAACGCCAGCCACCGCTCTCCTCATCCTCCTTTGGATCCCACTTGGGATCATACTAGCCGTGATCCGGATCTTTCTTGGAGCCATCCTCCCATTGTGGGCCACACCTTACGTCTCTCAGATATTTGGCGGCCATATCATCGTCAAAGGCAAGCCTCCTCAGCCACCGGCTGCTGGAAAATCCGGCGTGCTCTTTGTGTGTACTCATAGAACCCTAATGGACCCGGTGGTATTATCCTATGTGCTCGGACGTAGCATCCCAGCCGTTACTTACTCGATTTCGCGGTTATCAGAGATCTTATCTCCCATTCCAACCGTCCGATTGACAAGAATCCGAGATGTAGACGCGGCTAAGATCAAACAACAGCTGTCCAAAGGAGATCTAGTGGTCTGTCCTGAGGGAACCACTTGTCGTGAACCGTTTTTGTTAAGATTCAGCGCACTTTTCGCCGAGTTAACGGATAGGATTGTTCCGGTTGCGATGAATTACAGAGTTGGATTCTTCCACGCGACCACAGCGAGAGGCTGGAAAGGTTTAGACCCGATTTTCTTCTTCATGAACCCAAGACCGGTTTACGAGGTTACGTTCTTGAATCAGCTTCCTATGGAGGCAACATGTTCGTCCGGGAAGAGCCCGCATGACGTGGCAAACTATGTTCAGAGAATCTTGGCAGCTACGTTAGGGTTTGAGTGCACCAACTTCACAAGAAAAGACAAGTATAGGGTTCTCGCTGGAAACGATGGAACGGTGTCGTATTTGTCGTTGATTGACCAATTGAAGAAGGTGGTGGGCACTTTTGAGCCTTTTCTCCATTGAATTACTCCAGTTATCGATCATCCGATGATTTTCTCTTTGTTTTAATATATTAGATCAGTAGTTTCCCATCTGTTTGCAATTTCTTTCTCTTGATTAATTTTTGCTTGTGAAAAAGTTTGGGTTGATTTTTTTATATGGTCTATAATTATTGTATTCTTGTTTGAATGTCATTCTTTTTCAGATATGTAACTCCTCATAACCATATTGTTGATAAATAATATATATGGGGATGAATAGTTTTGTAATTAGTCATTATATATTATGAATTGTTGTTGATTTATTTTTTCAACTTTTTATTTGTTTCAAGAAATTTTTTGTCGATTAAAGTATTGATCTTGAATGACGAAACATATACATGCACTATATATATTATTTAACTGTTTTTTTTTTTTTTTTTTTTTGGCACACATATATTATTTAACTGTTATCAACATTGGTCCTCTTAATACTTTGTTTTTGATTAATTAGGTTCTTAACTTCTTTAAAAATTCAAATATCGAACCCACTCATAGCCAATATTTCATTTAACCAACTATGATTAAAAAAAAGGAATCTATTGAAAAAATAAAATCAAATTGCTAACTTGAAATTTCGAAAATTGTTGGATTAGTCGCCAAACAGTTTCAAATTTGGTGGGCAGATAAGAAATAGACAAACTGGTTGACCAGAAGACTTTCGCTGCCACTGGAGCACTTTCCCGGTTACAGTTGGCCTACCTCTCCAGTTCCACGTCATCGTTCATAAACTTCTCTTTTGCTTTCATTATGATGAAGTACTTTTTTTTGGGTTATAAATAGAGTCAATGCATGCTAATTATTTGAGAAATAATTAGGTGTGACATACACAAGTTTTTTTCTTTGCAAAACAAGAAAAATAAAACTTTGGTTTGGTAAAATTCGGACGAAATTGCCCTTCAAATTAAAAACCGAAATTTTCTGTAGAAGATATATGCGTCATGAAACTTACAGTGGACCACCACTTATTAAATGCTTTCATCGATAATATATTCTACTACATAATTAAATGTCGTGATATCTTGTTTTTTATCAGATACATGGATATATATATCAATACATCGTAATATTCTATTAATATTGTTTACATATGATATATCACTATAGAACATTGTAGTGGTTGTGATAGGTGAGTGAAGTAAATTTAACATTGTAGTGATTGTGTTGAATTGTATGTTAGTGGCGGAGGAGGTGATGGTGATGTGAATGAAGAATATATTGCGGTTGAAGAGAAGGTAGTGATAGTAAATAGGATAGAAATTATATTGGCAATGACATAGGTGAGACTATGACGATAAATGAATTGAGAGACAAAGATGTTTAACCATCACTAGATTTGTTCTTAGCGTCGTCGGTTGACGGTGTCTCAAATCATCTGTAACAGAAGCTCAATAATAACGAACGACACCTAAACATACGACGTCTCTATGCCGAAATTTTTTCAAGGTTTATGGAGTACATTTTAATCAGAAAAATGCGACGAGTTTAATGAATTCAAAATATCATAATTTTAGATGCAATCAGTTTCACAATTAAGAAGAATCATTTGTTTGGAGTTTTCATAAAGTAAAGAAAAAAGAAAAAGAAAAAAATAAATAATAAAAGGAAAGAGAAAAGAAGAAGGAAGGAAGAAAGAATGAAGTGTTTGATTTTAGGGGTATTTTAGTCTTTTTGTCATGTTTTCAAATGATCATTTATTTACATGTTTGCCACTTCTCCTTTTGACTTAAATATTTCTCAGTCTTAGGGTATGTAGTGTAATTACTCTTATAAATATTGTATGTATTTATATGAATTTATTTCAGCATAATTCTACGAAATTTCTTTTGTAGACGGCATACATTGATATATAGGAGTATCATTTCCTACTATATTTTTAAAAAAATTGGGGTTACTAGTGGTAAATATCTCTAAATTATTCCACATTTTAATTAAGCCTATGTATTTAACGGGAACCGATCTTTGATTTCGTGCGGGAGTATTTGAAAACCTTTAACACCAAATGTCAAATTTGTTGCCAAAGAGAAGAGTTCAACTAAAAGATAAATCCAAAATTTTGTGGAGAACATTGATTGGATAGTATTTTATATAGGATCCTAATAGAGTAAAAGATATTGAATTTCAAACGTAATATCACAGAAGCAGTAAAATGGAAAGAAGTGGTGATATAGCTTCGAATACATTTGCTCCATCTGTTTCACATGTGGTAAACCGAACCTTATAGCTCATTTTGCAGGTACATATTGTTTCATAGAAAGAAATGTGAGATTCGTTTGATATCTAGAACCACAACCATTATATATAAATCGTTTTTGGACATAATGCAAATTATGGAGAAGGCTCCTCACAAGACTTTTGGACATAACAGACAGACACATATGTCACCATGTATAGTTCAAGTTCTTCCAAACAAACCTTAATTTTGTTAAAGTTTTTTACTAAAAACTCTGATTTGATCAGACAAAAAGTTGTCAAACATATTCATCTTTAAAATTTAAGTTTTGTAATACCATTGATTTTTTTTTTCCATTTAAAGCCTAGTCAGAGATTGACATTTTGGGAAGATGGAATTATAAATTCACAATAATATTCAATGTGAATGATAAGTTGGTAGATCTGGAGAATACATAGCATGCATATGCATCACTTTATAAAGAATTATTCAAGAAGTACATACTATAACATATTCGTTAAATCTACTCAAACATATATATATACACACTGAATTCATCAGAAAACATATACTAATTAGGACGAAAGCTGAGAGATGTAAAAATTCTAAAAATAATGGATCTAGAGATACTTATATACGAACCAGATAATTAAGGATTTTTTTGGAAAACTAAGATCATTTGAGAGGTTCAAAACATCTACAAGAATTCAAGAAAGAGATAAAATGAACATACCAAAAAGTTCAAGATAAGCACCTCCTCGTGTGATCCGATCTGTGGATTCCTACAAAAAAAAAAAAAAAAAAATGAACTACGAAATAATTTTCAATCAACACATACCTGTTTATATGTGTAAGCCACTGATTGCAGCTGCAGCATCATCAAGATTCTCATACATACATCAACAATATAATTATAAATGGGTTCATTTACACGAATACTTGATGATTTGTGAATCTTGATGATGCTCCAACAGCGAACAGTAGCTGGTTGGTGATAGGGATGTATATGTAGTGATTTGGATCTTTGGTTTTGTCTTGGATCTCTTGGATCTTTTCAAGACTCAAGACGGCACCATTTTGCTGGAAACATGAAACCCTAATCTCAATCCTTAATCTAGAGTCTAGTGACCTAGTAAGAGAGAGACAGAGACTTTATATATGTGAAGCGATAAAGAAGAGACTAGTTGGTGCTTTAACTCAAATATATATATATATATATATATAATATATAGTATATATATATATATATATATATAACAAATTAAAATACGTTCACTGAGATCTCAGATTAAGGTCATTAGTACAAATGGCTAATAGAGACCGATTTTGTCATCCATGTTCAAACCATATCATTTGCCATAACCCATAAAATATTTGTTAGTTAGTGTACATATGATTGTCCAAATTATTTTATCTTTTGTCCCGCAATCAACATATGTCCTATATGATATCAAATTACCAGATACGCATGCGAAATAATCCATCGAAATATACATGTTATTGTGTCGAATTTCGTTATTATGGTGGATCGAGTTTAGTTTTTTGTTTTTTTTGATTAGATATATAATTTTTAGTTTTACCGTCAAATAATTTTTCAACTATTTTATACTAGTCAGCGAATTATAAGATCAAACAATAATTTGTCATTAATTGTTTGCTGGAAATCGTCAGAATTTATTGTACAAGTCAGCGAAATTTAAGATCAAATAAAATGTGAGAAACAAAATAGAGAAAGGTAGACAGACAAAGAGAGACATCGGAATGTCAGGTGGATGCCTCATGGCACTTAGAGGATACTTTAAGCGGATATGGATGGGTATTAGTTGATCAAGATCGGATCCTTCATCTCGGTCTCAAGAGTTTGAAAAGAAGTCTTTCACCGCTCCATGCGGAAGTGGATTCTTTGTTGTGGGCAATGGAATGTTTGATCTCGCTAGGAGTCACCTCTGGTGCCTTCGCAACAGATTGCTCCGACATGATATCACTTCTCGATAATCAAGAAGAATGGCCAACTTTTGCAGCAGAATTGGCTTCTTTCCGGTCTCTTCGTTGTTTTTTCCCTTCTTTTAGTATTCGTTTTCTTCTTCGTAGTTTTAATATTCGAGCTGACTGTTTAGCGAAAAAAGCTCGGGCTCGGAAGAGTCTCTTTTCCCATGTAAGCAACTCGGTTCCTGAATGGCTCTCCCCAGCGGAGAGTATATCTTTCTGATAACTTAATATAAATGGTGTTTGATGAAAAAAAAAAAGACAGACAAAGAGAGACAAGCGTGAGACACGGAGAAGTGGAACTGATCTTCTTTACGTTCCTCGTACGTTTACCAAGTTTACACTGCTTTCCATATTTCTATATTATTCTCTCCATCATATCCCTTCTTCACACACTTTATAATTAAAAAAAAAACCCTATTATTTGTATTCCCAATTGATTGAAACAAATATATAAACATGAATCCATTTCAAATTAAGAAGCCTTGAAAGATCTTGAACTATTATCCGTTATTAGTAGAATCTATTTCTAGAGTCTCAAAACATAACCCAAAAAGCCAAAGCACTGGGGGTTTGGTGTAATTGGTCATGATATATGGGTACATTATATCATTTTTATCATCGTCTCTTTATCATTTTTCCTTGTATTGTCAAGCTTGCGTCAGGCGTGTACTTATCTTCATATGACATTATTTATGTACATAACCAAAATTCAGGCCACAAACAATACGTGAGCTATTCAGAATCACGAGGTCCACGCGCTCGCTCACCTTCCTCTTTCTTCCAACTAGGGCTTTAGCTAATTGTTAACTAGATGGAAAACAATGCTATCTATGGTTGCATTTTAAAATAGTGTTTACCATAACTTATTATATTTATTTTTATCAAATTTTAAAAATATCGTATACCAATATTGGTAAATTCCTACTATAGTAGTATAGTATTGTTTTACATTATAAAATTTCGTATACCAATGTTGGTAGATTCCTACT